ACTGCAGGCAGTTGGACTCGATCCACAGGGTCTTCAGGTTCTGCAGGAGTCGGAGCTCGAGGGGCAGGCTGCAGAGCTTGTTGTTGCCCAGGTAGAGGATGCACAGCTGCTTCAGCGTACACACAACTAGGGGCAGTGCTTTGAAGTTGTTGAAGTCCAGTGCCAAAATTTGCAGGTTTTGCAGCTGCTCCAGCTCAGGGGGCAGGTGGTTCAGGTTGTTGTCACTCAGGTACAGCTTAACCAGTTCCCTAAAAGAGCAAATGTGCACAGGCAGCCGCCTCATCTGCCTGCCACTCAGGTCGACCATTTTATCCACTGGCATCTCTTCTAGGTCTTCTAGGAGGTACTTCTGGCACTTGTTTGAGGGCACAAAAGCAAGTATGGCTTTCAGACTGTTGCCCATGTCAGGAGTTTGTTTTGGGATGGCAGGGACTGCAAGGGACAGGAGGCTGCCTTGATCTTCTGCTGCACACTGGCCTGTTGGTAACTCGTTCTTCCCAATATAAGGCTCTGTTTACATGGCACCAGCCATTAATCTCAAGGGTTCTGAAATGCTTCTGATAACTGAATGAGTGTTTGGTGATGGGGATTATAGACAGGATGACTCAAGGCCCTGGTCTCCCTCTCTCCCCACACTCCCACTCACTCACCCTCGCTCCCCCCCACCCTCAAAACATTCCTTCTTTCCTCCCCTTGCACACTGTAAATGTTATTTGATTTTGCCCCAAACAAAATTAGGGTCACACCAATGCCCCAGCCCGTCACCTCTTGCTGCAGCTGTGTCTGTGTAGCCAATGCAGGCAGCAAGAATGGGCTTGGGAAAGTAAACACCAGAGCAGACCAAAGTTTTAAGCTCAGATATTTAACTTTGATGAAACTTTCAGCAGAAATGTCAGATCTGATCAAATTGCTGTTTAAAATACCTGTCAAGACTTGGCTGACTTTCAAGACGAGTGGCACTTTCAGGGATGTATTTTGAAAGGTGGCAAATACTTGGATTTCAGACTGTAACTTGCTGCCCAGTACTTATCTTAAAGCTTTAACACAAATACTTGGCAAACTGCTATCTTGAGCGGTTCTACTGTTTATGTTCCTAATTTAATGATATTTATTATAGCCTCTGGCACTCTTGGTTGTGTAGGGCCTTTTTCATTACATTTTTGGCCTTGTCTGTAGGGCCTTTTTCTTCACATTGTTTTACTCCTTGTCTGAATCCCAATGTAATGTGTTATCACAAATTGCCAAGGTTGTTCTCCTGCATTTCAACTGTGCTACTGCAGTTCCTCTGTCTGTACCAAAACCTGTCAAAGAAACTCCCATGGATTTATTTCCGTCAAGATTCTCACTTGTTGTAAGTGAAATAAGTCTGATTTTGAAAAGTTACAGCTATTTAGATGTGACAGTGTAAACTGTTCTAGTCTCATCATGACCCATTTTGCTATTCAGTTCTAATTTCTAGCAGCATCCCCATGTATAGGAACCTCTGCATAGTTTGACATGTTGAGCTGCTGCTATTTCAGGCTTTCCTGGGGACTCCTGTTTGTCCCTACCCATGGCATGGAGGTTGGAACTACATGATCTTTAAGATTCCTTCCAACCCAACCCTTTCTGTGGTTGTCCTGCCTCTCTGCTGGCCATGGCTCTACCATGAGCTTTGGATGTAAAAGCTGGCAGAGTATTTTAAGGTAAAAAAGTTTTTTCACCACCTGGCTCTTTGCTTTGATATCTACAGCTCATTGCTGTAATTTTCCACACTTACTGTAATTTAGGGAGAATACTTTCTTTGAACAATCTGCAATTGGTTTTGGGGTATTAGGTGCTAACTACCAAAATCTGTGACTGCTGAGAGCCACACATTCTTGAAAGATGAAAGGCAGAGCAAACAGAAAATTGAGGAAAAGGCACCACTTAAAGTGGCCTCTGGATTTTTGGTCAAATCTAGTTATATAGAGCTCTCTACTATCACTTGGTTTCAAATGTAAAGCAGCTCTTAGCATCAATTTGGTACAGGCTATAGGATGTTTATGAGCTTTTTCCCCACAAGATGAGTGGCTGTGCCATGCAGCAGTGATGCAATGAAGTGTGTGGAGGACAACAATAGAGAGGGCACCTGGGAAACAGTATTGCAGCAGGACAGAGAGTAGTGAGTGCTGAGACCTGCGTGCCATAAAATCAGTTTTGGATGGAGAAGCTGGGCAGAGTAACAAGCTTGGAGAACAAAGACAATGTCACAGTCATGTGTGGTGGTGCTGTGGAATAGAGGGCCTGAAAGTTCCCTCTCTGATGGTGGGACCTGCTGCACATGGCATCTCAGAAGAAGCCAGTTTGCACTGCATGAGCATCTCCTTTTGGACACTTTACTGCTTTGATACTCTGTGGCCTGTCAGAGGACCACTGTGGGGAATGTGTCAGCAGGTTGTTGTATTTGTTTTTCATTTCTATACAGCCGTGGCACCTTTTGAAGACAAGGGTCCCACCCCTTAAGGCACTGTAGACTACAGGTGTGGAAAACCAAATGCATTTGACATAATTAATAATGAACATACATCCACAGCAAGGTCTTGTATTTTAGACAAATTTTTTCAGATAACCTACTAATCATAGCAACACAAGATCATAGCTAAGAATACGTTAATGATATAGTTTAGGCATATTTTTTCTCAATAATCCATATGTAGACAAATAACTTAGCAAAGTATTTTATGTCTGCAGATATGGATATGGATATTTTTTTTTTTCTGCTTGAATTATTTCTCCTTAATGGAACTTTTAAGCTGCAGATAATTATTTCTTAGGGATCCTCTGCACTGTAGTTTAATCATTATTCCAGCTTATCAAAAAAGGTCACAATGACCTTTTGTTGCTGCATTTTGTACCTCTGTTAGCTCAATTAATGTCTGCTTGGAACATAGAGTGAGAATTTGGGAAAGAATAACTTCTGTGTGTGGATTAATAAAGGACTACACTTGCAGTAAAATGAACAACTGCATTCTTTCTGAGAATCAGACACTCAGTGGAGGCACTAAGGCAAAGGCAGTCCTCACAGTAGACCCAGGCGGTGTTTTGAAAGCTGCATGTCTTCAAAGTTACCGTGGTGCCCTCCAACAGGAGCATTATCCGAGAAGCATTTGTAGCATTTGAGGAAAAGTTCAAGTGATAAAGACACTCGGCACAGACATTGTCTTGCTCTTGTCAAAGCGACACTGCCCTACCCAAAGGCATGACATCTGCTCTGCTGTGCATCAAGTGACAGGAGGGGGCTCCTTGCGAAATGCCTTTTCTTTCTAGATTTCACAAATGGCTGCATCTTTGCTCACCATTCCCATTTCCAGCACCCAGCTCTTGCAGCTCGGTGGCTGGAATGACAGTGGGACAGAATGTGTGATTGTTTGCTGATAACTTGTATAAAACCTCTGAGTTCAGGAGAAATGGGGACTATTACTCAGAGATAGATAACTGAAAAAAAAATAGAATAAAATAGAAATCAGTATAAAAGATGCATTTTTAAGATTCTATTATTTTTTGAAACAAGATATTATAATAGAGATGCTGGTGCTTTTTCAGATCCAAAGTTCTGCCTGCAGCTGTGTGATGACACCAGGCTCAGCCTTTGCTGAGTTTTTTTAGCCCTTACAATTTTGGAGGTACATTGGAAAAAGCAAACTGTATTTCAAAATCGGTGAGAACTAATAAATAGAGCTCTAAACTTATTGATTTTAAGGCTCTCATACCCCTCCTCAATCAGTCTGATATAGCAAGGGAAATTAAGGAGCAATTTTTTTTGCTTTGTATTTATTTGAATACAATGCCTGTGACAGGCATTTAAACCTCTTCTTGGTCACAAATGCTGTGTGATTGGGTTTTTCTGCTCTTTTTTTCTTGATATTGCTGCTGGAGCAGAAGATGACAACTCCTGCTTCCTCCATGTCCATGTCCTTTGACATTCATTCCTTGCTGTGCTGTTGCACATCTTCTCTCTTTTGGGAGAATTACTTAGTTCCAGTTCACCTTTCCATAGTGAGCAATTAATTTTAAATACATGGTGTGTTGTGAGGAAAAAAAAAAGTGATTGCTCTTTTCCCAGCATCCTACCATAGTCTTTTGAACAAAAATGGCTGATTATTCAAAGTTGGCTTTAAGATATTCTAGGCTGCAGTATGTGGTTCCTTACTGCTCTTTCTTGTGCAGAGGAAAGATTCAAAAAGTCTTGTAAGTAAACCGCAAACTCAGTGCTCTGCTTCCTCCTGGGCAGCTGATGGGTTGGGGGCTGTGCTCTGCCATATCAGCCTCTTTTTGACTTCATTATTTCTCTGCAGGTTTGACTTGAACCCAAGTGTAGGAGTGGGAGCCACTAACCCCAGGAAACTTGCAGGAAAATAAACCCAAGAGAGCTCTTCCAAATGTTTTGCTGAAATATGTGCAACATTATTGTTGGTTTTTACTGTATTTTGCAATATTGTACTCTTGTGTTTTTTACTTTGAATATCCATTTTATGGTGTGGCAGTCACATTTATGTTTAGACTGGAGCTCTCCCATAGATACGGAATTAAACTTCAACTGTTAGGGGGTGACTTGTTGCAAGCCTACCAAATGTCAGCTCATCCCTGCTGAAATGTCTCCATGCAGAAGGGAGATGGTGATATATTATGTCCTCTTTTTCTGCATTGAATACTTCTGAGAAGCATCTCACTAAAGCAAGCTTGAAAAGCAGCAAGTCCTTGGACTGCTTCCTCTTTCGCATTCTAGCAGGAGCTAAGCTCACCCCATGAATTGTATTTATGTAAAAGACATTAAGGATTGTTAGTTAAATGTCTGTTAGGTCTAGACTTAGATATCACAGACCTGGTTATCTGTGCCTGAGTAGCTCCACTGGATACCACTATTTGCACAAACCAGCGGTTAGTCTGAGAGTAAATGAATCAGTTTTCTGCCAAAGCGCTGACCTCCTGCGATTGATTGACCTGGCAAGCAGCCCTCAGCTGACAACAGGCCATAGAAAAGGGACTTCTGAGCAAAGGAGTGTCATTAGACTCTGAACCTCCTGGAACCATGAGGGCGATAGTGTTGGCTGCGGTTTACATCCCGCTCATCATGGCTGTAGAACGGTAAGAAAACACATCTGGCTTCACTGGCACACAGCTGGCTTCATGGGGTGACCTGTGCTTGTTGCTACTTGAGGTCTCAAAAAATAAACCTTTTTTTAAAAAAACAGAGTATATGACAGTTCTAGGAAGGACAATCAGGTGTTTTTTTGTGTGTTTATTTTATTTGTATAGAATCCCCTTGATTCGATTCAAATCTATCAGGAAACAGCTGAAGGAAAAGGGAGAATTAGAGGAATTTTGGAGGAATCACCACCCTGATGTTTTTGCCCGGAGGTATCTGCATTGTTTCCCTGCAGATATTGCTTTATCAGTAGGAGCTGCTTCAGAAAGACTGTATGATTACATGCATGTAAGTACAGTTTTGGTATTACAATCATTAGGACTCATCGTTCTACTGAAGGCAGGGTTTTTTTCCCAGCATATTTCAAATCTAGTCTGTCAATGAAATTATAGGGCTTGTGGTGTTGTGTTGCTTTATGCTATAAATATTAGATCATAAAACACTAGGTTGCAATCTGCAAAATAAAGCATGTCTGGATCTAGAATAATATGGGACCTGAGTAGAAAGCTGATGTAGAGTAGCAGTAGTAGTCTTGTGGAAAGTTTTACTTTTGTATAGATCTGTATTGGATTCGGTTGGATCCCCAAAGAAATATGGGAGGTTTACCTGTATCAGTCTTGGCGAACTACAGGGTTTTTCACAGCAGAATCTGACTGCTTCATTTAGTCATATTCTACTTACCAGATACTTTGATGCTTCTGTGTTATAAAAAAATGCTCCAAATCTCATTTATTTAATCAGAGGGAATTACAAAACAGTGATGATAAAGACTTAAGTAGAGTTTTTTATTTTTCTGCTTTTATCTCTGGAATTTATATGTATTAAATATTGGAGATTGACCTGGGAGGATTTACTATCTAAACTGAAAAAGGAAAAAATATTAATTTCTCTGGATCTCAGACAGGCAAGTCATCAAGTCTACCATTTTGTAAGCTGTCTTTTCTGGTGTTAGAATTTTGTCTGTTTGGATAGTCTCTATTTTCTGTTTTATTTGGTTTTTCTGCTATGCTTATCTCAAGGGAAACTAAACTTCAGAAATTTTGTGGAGTCTGAACAGGGAATGGAATTGAAGGAAAGGCCAAATTCATTCAGCAAGAACTTATTGTCACTTGAGAGCCATAAAAAAATAAGTATGTGAAGAAGAACAAAGGACACTGAAACACTTCAACCTGCTTTAAAGCTTACTTCAAAGAGGGATAAAACAACAAAGCAAAACCCACTTCCCCAGCATATTCAGGTAGCACCAGGAACGGTTTTATTGCAGTGTGTATGTGGGTTTTCTGGTTGTATGTTTTTTTGTTTTGGGTATTTTTTTAAATGAACATCCCCTAGGTTTGTTTAATGCAGGAAGAAATAGAATCCTACTGTAGAGTTGGATATTCTCTTAAATGGCATGCCTTTTCAAGATTATCTCGTTCAGACGGTATATTCTGGGGGTCAGAAACGTCAGTTTATTAATTATCAAGTATGCACTTGAAGGTACATATTCAAATACTTGTATTGCTGAAAAACATTTGGCACTAACTATTGCTGTTCTATCTGTGGTTGAATTCCAGAAATGCCTCTTCCTAAAAATAGGTCTCTTAATGCTGAAGTGCTCTTCCAGGGCCAGATAGGAGCACTTAGACACTTGTATACGGGATGTGGATAAGCACTTCACTGCAGCATTCACGTGTTCACATATTATCTCAGTCTCAATTGATATCCAGGGATGGTCAGTGGTTTCTTCATCTGCTGGATGAACTTTGTCCAGTACATCAGGAACAGTTTGTGCAGCACAGTACTTTTTGACTTGCTATAGTAGCTGCTAATTACAAAGGAATAAGGACAGTCACATAAGACAGTATTTGTGCCACTGGTCGGAGCCCTCTGAAGCTGGCAGAGGCAGCTCATCTTGACTTTGCAACACTGTTTTCTTATTGACATCAGCGAGCCTGAAAGTCTGTGTGGCCACATGGGGGTTTCATCTTGAGGATGACCTTACCACCTCTGAAGCCAGTGCAAGAGGGCTTTTTGACTCCATAGGGAACCCAACTGAATGTTTGCTTAAAAGGCTTTACAAATGCCACACCATTGTTCATTCAGCTGGAGTGAAACCTGCTGCTTGAAGCCACTCGTGGAACCAGACACGCTTCGTGTGGTGCGCCTTCGTGTTGAACTGGAATTGCGCAGAAGCCCCTGAGGGAGCACTGTGGGATGCTCCCAGTCAGGGCTGTTCCCCAGAGCAGCTGGCTGGAGGCTGCCTGGCTTGGGGCTGAGCGGGTTGTTCTCCTGCAGGCGCAGTACTACGGGGTCGTGAGCGTGGGGACGCCGCCCCAGAGCTTCACCGTCGTGTTTGACACCGGCTCCTCCAACTTCTGGGTCCCGTCCGCTTACTGCATCAGCGAGGCCTGCAGTAAGAAATGCTGCTCTCCTCCATGCTTCTCTTGTCTTGGTCCAGAGACCCTGCCCAGTTCTCCTTTCCCAAGAAGCTTGCTTGCAGCAGGGATCTTTGATGGGGGGATTTGGAGCATCCCTTAGGGCTGTTTCCTCCTCTGTCCCTCATGTCACTCTGCAGCCAGGGCAGGCACCGGCTGCCACTGCCCAGAGACCCTCTGCACCATGAGGTAAAAGGCATGAAAATAGACCTTGGAGACCTACCAGCAGAGGTGGAAATGCCCATTTCTGTTCTAATATTTTCCTCTAAAATGCAAAATTACCACTCTGTATCTCTGGTACAGAAAAACTGGGGTCTGCAGAAGAACTGAGGTGCCTGCAGTACTTCTTCAACACTTTTCTCTTGAGAAAAAAATCTTCTACATCTCATCTCATCCTGCACTGGGGAGTGGGTGGGTTGCCAGAACCTCCCCTCAGTGTAGAGATTTAATTTTTTTTTGTGTAGGGGTGCACCAGAAGTTTAAGTCCTTCAAGTCAGATTCATATGAGCATGGAGGGGAAGCCTTCTCCCTGCAGTACGGCTCAGGACAGCTTCTGGGCATTGCTGGCAAAGACACACTGCAGGTGAGTGTCCACCTCAAACGGCTGTCAGCCTCCACATCAACTGTTTGCAGGGCAGCTCAGATACTGGCCTTGCCCTGGAAAACTTTGCCTGGTTTAGGGAAGGGCAGAGTGAGGTCCCACCAAGCTGAGTGCTGAGAGGTGTGGGTTCTGCCCCAGCTTTGTGCTACCAACACAAAAGCATCACATTTTATTTTTCAATTCTGCTTGTCTTCTTGGATCTTCTTCTGGGTTTATGAAGAAGAGCCACATAATTGAAACATTCTAGGGAATCTGTGCTGCCTACATGTCAAATGGGCATGTGCTATGTTGATGCAAGTCACACAAAGATAGCCAGGCTTTATAAACTGAATGAATCTATTGATATGGATCAGAAATATGGCTAATTCCTTGTTATTGGTGGTGTCATTACTTCCAGTTGTGGTTGTTCTTTGCTTGGTTGTTTGTTTCCTTTTTATTTACCAAACAGATAAGTAACATCTCCATCAAGGGACAGGACTTCGGCGAGTCAGTATTTGAGCCAGGAACAACTTTTGTCCTTGCCCACTTTGATGGTGTACTGGGCTTAGGCTACCCCTCCTTAGCGGTAGGCAATGCTCTGCCTGTGTTTGACAGCATCATGAACCAGCACCTGGTAGAGGAGCCAGTCTTCTCTTTCTATCTGAAAAGGTCTGTCTTTAAAATGAACTGCTAAAACAGAAGTAAGTCTATTTTAACTGTTAATAGAAACAACTGTGCATCTGTATAAAGCTTCAACCCAAGAAAGACATTTTCCCCATTTTTTGAGTCTTTGTGTTATTATTTTTTTTTAATTTCAATTTGACATTGAAGATTATGAAGAAAAAATGTTATGGGGAGGACCATGACTTTTTGGACAGAGATTCATTTTTGGAGCTGGTCATAAATAAAAGTTCCCAGCTCAAACTCACCGTGTCAGTTGCCAGAGGCTTCCCACTAGCCCATGCAGATGAACAGAAGTGCTGTGCTACACCCAATTAGCCACATTTCAGAAAAATACTGTTCCCTAATCTGGACCTAGCTGCAACTCTACCTATTTCTCTAGTGTTTCTTCTGAGCTGAGAGTAGCAACTAGCTCGGCCTGCTCCCCCTGCCTACCCTGGTGCCAACAGTAAGTCTTCTCAGAGTTTGTTTGGAAGGTCTGAGTTGGAACACATACAGTGATAATTTAGTAATAATCCCTTTCAGCCATCCATATCTGAATTTAGAAAGGGCTGTGATTTGACTTTTGCTTTTTAAGTGTAATCTCATTGGTGCATACTGCCACACTCCCATGTCTGTGTTAAACTGTTTTCTGCTTTCAGAGGAGAGGACACTGAAATTGGTGGTGAGTTGATTCTGGGGGGAATAGACCATTCTCTCTACAAAGGTTCAATCCACTGGGTCCCAGTCACTGAGAAAAGCTACTGGCAAATACACATGAACAAGTATGTATGTATGTATGTATGTATGTATGTATAAAAACCCTGATGAAATTCACCTCTCTAGGTAAACCCCCAGAGACAGAAACACCTGGTGACACAGGTGCAGGAGGGCTCAGCTGCAGTGTTTTAGCCCTGTGCCCTCAAAGAGGGGCTCACCAGGATGAGATCAGGGTTTGTTAGTTCTCTAAATCTGGTGTGACATGGGTAGCTGGTGTCTGGAAGAGCATGTCAGTAAGTTTTAATATGATACACCAGTGGTCAAGATGAGTCTTGGTGGACTGTTCAGTTATGAGGTTAAGGCACCCAGGAATAGAATCTAGCTCTAGGTCCTGCTAACTTTGGTCGAAATAGCCAGTGTTCCTTTGTCCCTCTTCTAGCACACTGCCTAAATTGGTGAGAGCACATACCTGGGGGTGAGGACAAATTCATCAGCAGGAAGCACATGATAGGAGTTGTAGGAGTCTCGAGAGAGAAAAGTGGGTCCACAGACATTCTTGTCTTTAGCAAAGCTTGGCAGCTAGTTTTAATCATAGAAACACAGAATCATTAGGGTTGGAAAAGATCTTTAAGATCATTGAGTACAACTGTCAATCCAGCAGCACTACCAAGTACATCATTAAACCATGTCTTCAAGAGCCACATTCACACATCTTTTGAATACTTCCAAGGATGATGACCCTACCACTTCCCTGTACAGCCTGTTCCAATGCTACAATACTTTCTGTGAAGAAATTATTCCTAATATCCAATCTAAATCTACCCTGGTACAACTTGAGGCCATTTCCTCTTGTCCTGTCCCTTGTTGTCTGGGATTAACTTCAGTCATACTCTGGTACTTTAGCTAGCAATAATACAGTGTATCAGTCACAGTGTATATGCCATTTGCTTAAAGCTGCATTTTTTTTTTTCATTTGCAGTATAAAGATCCAGGGCCAGGTGACATTTTGCTCCCACGGTTGTGAAGCCATCGTTGACTCAGGCACTTCTCTTATCACCGGCCCCTCTTCACAAATCAGACGATTGCAGGCATATATTGGGGCAAGTCCATCAAATACTGGAGAGGTAAAAACTGTACAGCCTGAAAACCACTACAGCGAAACTGGTATATGATGCAAAGAGTTGGAAAATAACAGAAGTGATGGCTTAGACAGGTGCCAGTGAAAGCCTTGTTTCCAGGACAGTACTGAGCTCTGAGCCAAGCTGCTTTTGACTATATGCCTTGTCCTAGTCCTTTTCCCAAATATTCACTTCATCTTCTATACTGATGTGTAAGGAAATAATGGGGATGTCTGTTTGAGGAATTGATCTGTACTCTGCATGAGAGAGAATTTTCTTTTGGAAGCTCAGAGGGTATTCAAGGTTCCCAGCTCTAGCTGTTGGCTCTCCCAAGCCAGGAGGGATTTGGTGCTGATGGCCAGCTATGTCAGCATCAGATGGAAAGGGAATGGTATTTTAGTGGCAGCCCCACAGTGGTTTCACTGACAGAGCCTCTCCCTGTCAGCTTGCAGTGGAGCAGTTGGTGTCATGCCAGAGCTCCTGGGAGGGATGCACATCAGTGTCACTCACAATGCTGGCTCCTCACAGGGCACAGGACAAGGCTTTCTGGCTCTTACTCTTCCTCCTCAACTTTACTCCACTGACCCTTTCCTGGTTTTCCTTTCTTCCCTACTGCTATCTCCTGCATCTCCCTTGCTGACACTCCTTACCACTCCTTCCTGTCCTGCCTTCAGAAAGAGCAGTTTGTTTTACTGTGCCCTTGGCTGACTCCCACAGGTGACCAGCACATTGCCACAGCTCCAGTGCTCAAGCAAAGCTGCAGTGTGTAGCTTTTTTAACACTGAATTTCACATAATATTCTGAATTGGAAAGGATCCACATGGATCACCAAGTCCAACTCTCAGGCAAATGGCCTGACAGGGATCAAACCCATGGCCTTGGTGTTATTAGCACCATGTTCTAACCAACTGAGCTAATCTCAATTTGTCTTGATCCTGACCCAAACCTACTCTTGGAAGAAAATTAAGAGTATTTCAAGTGTCCAGTGCACTGGACAATGAGAAAAGACAAAAGTGGACTCTTCTGTCATTTGTAAGAGTGTTACATAGTGACCTCTGTGTACTCCTGAGGCTCCTGATTCTTTCTCAATCAAACCTTTAATCTTGATTTTGTTCAAATTTTTAGATACATGCAAAAAAGTACGCTCTGACAACAAGTTGATTTTATAATGAGTCATGCTAATGAACATAGATAAAATACCTATTTCCAATGTACTTATACTAGCCCAATGTAAACAAGGAATGGGTCATTGCTGTGTAGGTTCATATATACACCAGTATTGACTTAAGAACATTTATCTGGCATCTCAGATTTCACAAAAAAGTGTCTGGAAATAAGAGTTTCTGTGACTGGTTTTTAGCAATCATAGACAAACAGCACACATTGGCTCAAATTTATCCCAGTACAATTGAGTTTATCCATCACAGATTTTACCAGAACTTTTATCTCTTTTCAGCAAGGATTGATTTGTTCTGGATGTACTATTCTGTAATAGCTATGTAAAAAAATTATGTCTTGCTTCTTGTATCCTACAAATCATTTTACTGGGTCTTTGTATCCTTGTCCTCTGTATCCCATTATTTATTTTGTTCTAATGGTATGACAGTTGGCAAGTGTACACAAGATGTAGGGTTATGTTTTCATAAAATAGATTGAAAAACAGCAAAATGCAGATTTTTCCTTCTAGGAAGCCTCTAAAAATGACTTAAAACACTACAGCAAAGATTCCTCTGGGACTTGGAGCATTCTGCAGTTCTGTTTCCCACACTAGTTGTTTCATGAAATAACTAGAAAGGCCAGGAAAGTATCTTGTCTCTTACTGTAACTGAATATGTTATTTATGTATATTAATGATCAAGCCAGAGTTTAGTCCTTCAACTCTTTAAATCCCATTCCAGGGCAAAGTTTAAGCATAAAGTGCTGTGTTCCTCACTAGCTTTTTTTTTTTCCCCTAAAGTGATGGTATTATGGGAGGACCTGGGGTGAACTCCAGCCTCTGTGGCTGGAGCAGCTCCTTCTGCCCTGTCAAGGCCAGAGCATTGGAGAACTTTTGCTCAGCAGACCTTGCTGATGCAGGCCGGCTGGGGCTCACACACTTAGTTTTGCCTTTGAGTTGCACAGGGAGCATATCAGAGCCCCTTCACCTCCTTTCTTTTGGGACTTGCAAGGATTTTCATCAGCCTGGGGTCCCTAGGGTGCAGTGGTCTGGACTGCTGGGCTGGTTTGACCGAGTGCAGGAAAGCTGGATGGCAGTGTTAGGCTGTAAGTCAGCCTGATGCTGTTTCTCTCTAGTAAATTCACAATTACCTACTCCAAAAGCCTTGAATTCAAAGATCAGTACTTGAAGAAAGACAAAGCGATCCCATCTCAGTCAGTGCATTGTGTCCAGTTTCTTGTAGACTGCAGAAGACTGTCGAGCTTGCCTCACATAAGCTTCACGATCGGGCACCGTGAATACAAGCTGGCAGCAGAGCAGTACATCATAAAGGTGAGCATCAGCAGCTTCCCTGCTCCCTGTTCCTCACTCCCTGACCTGGGGATGGAGCAGGCTGCTGCAGGGACATGTGTTTTCCCTTGCAGGAGTCTATTGATGACCAAACCTTCTGCATGAGTGGCTTTCAGTCTCTCGACATCCCCACTCGCACTGGCTCACTCTGGATTTTAGGAGATGTCTTCATGTCTGCATTTTACTGTATTTTTGACCGTGGGAATGACAGAGTGGGATTTGCAAAAGCTGTTCACAGAAAGGATTACTACTGAGCCATAATAGCATTTATTCTGTCCCAGGTTAATGTAATGGTCTTCAACACATGTGTGAAGAAGAGCTTTTACTGCAACTCTGGACATAAATGCACATTTTGTTGTTCCTCTCCAAGTTTTAAGGACTTTGCAGTGATCTTTGTCCCAGATGATATCATGTGGTTAATTATCTATATGTTTACAGTGGAGAAACAATTTTTCCTGAGTAACTCATGGACACTACAGCTCTCATTATAAAGCAGCAGAGCATCTCAGCATTCAGATTTGCAAAAGATCAGGAAGAATAAAAATACTGAATTGTGCCAGGCTGAAAATACAGCAGATATGTGTGGGGAAAATGAATCCTAATCCTGCCTGGTCTGACTATCCTTTTTTCCTTCTTGTGTGCGAGTTTCTACCTAATTTCCAACAGCTTTCCTTTCCATCATTATCTTCCATGTTTTGGGCTTTGTTCAACTTTGTTTCCTGAGTGCCGTGGAAATTCTCTTTAAATTAGCTTGCTCCAAACAGCTTATATAAAAGAGAATTTGACTAATGCCTGTGTAGCCACTAATTTCAACTCCTTGCACAGTTTCCTGCTCCTTACACCACCTATCAAACCTGCTTTTCCCCCAGTATTCATTATACCTTGCTAATTCTCCTTTTTTTGTTCTTGGCATTTGATGTCTGTGCCTTAGGTCAGATGCTGCTTTTAGTGCCTGACTCCTCTCCCCCTCGGCAGTGTGAGCAGCTGGAGCAGCATCTACTCACATTAGAAATGCAGAATGCGCCCAGAGTGCAAAGGGATACCAGTGTTCCTCCATCTCAGATGAGTTATGGGACCCATGCACCAGCACTACACATCTACTGCCCCTCGCTCAGCCCCTTCTTGTCAGCTGTGGCACGAGTTTCAGATGAAACAGTCACAGGTAGCTGTGCTGATCTGGCAAAAGATTCACCTAAATTCTACCCATTGGATTATTTGTTTGGATTGCTAAAGCTGATACTGCCCCCATACACATGCATAAAACTCAACCAAACAAAATCTGCTTTATCTCAGTGCTGTTTCAGTTACATTTTATGTTTCTTTACAGTGGTTCCAGTGCTGGGAGGAAGGGGAGTTGAGGGTGGAGCAACAATTGGAAATTCAGGTTTCTCTCTGTCCTGCAGGAAAAAAAATGTAATTTGTTGGCATGTTAGGGCTGCTTGTATCTTCCTAAAGCCTGCAAATGTCTGAAGTCCCAGTCATGTGTGCTGGGGACCTCCTCAGCAGGGCAGAGCCATGGGGAGATGAAGACTGGCCCCATGGTGGCACCACTGGAGCAGAGGCTGGTGGCCCCTAGGCACTTGCTGCTGCTGTCTGTCTGGATGTGCCTGACACTGACCAAAGGCAGTGTCCATTGCTGGCCTTGGTGGTATCACAATCACAGCCCCTTATATTTTAATAAGTATTACAAAACCAGGATGGTTTTCCTGTAGGTATCTCTAAATACTGATCTTGTCTTCCAATATGAAATAATCTTTCTCCCTCATGCCTGTTTTCATGACTCTCTATTTGTAGCCACATTGTGTTGCACATTTGGCATCCAGGATATCAACCTCTAGCAAAAGAGACTCTGCTGCTAGCTGTCTCTTTCTGCAGATGAGACTGAGCTGTGTGAAGTTACTGTGTATTTCAGGCAAATCTTGCCTTGATTCCTCTTTTTCCATGTCACCCTCAAAGAATGGATTAACCATGAGCTAACTTATTTGTTTAGAAAATGTCATTTGTTTGGCCATGAGTCAAGAGAAACAAACATCTATAAATCTCCATCCCTCATTTAACAGCAGGAGGGTATTTTCGCTTTCTCTGCTATGAAGTATACCTAACACTCTGGTATATCTTCATTATATGTACACTATATTTATGTTCCTCAAATATGAGTTTGCAGTCAGAGATCTGTTATTTACAATAGTTAAGGGTGTTAGGACATGTCCCCACAGCCAGTCGGCCCCAGCACTGACCTCTTGGCTCTGAATTTCAGTGCAGAGTGTGAACACATCCTAGAAACAGGTGGGAAGTCAGGCAGCATGCACAGGGACTAGCCTTCTCTTTGTTCTGATGTATCTGATCTTGCTCAAGATTAACACCATCTGATGGGAGCAAACTGCTGCTCTGACCTAGTTGTCTATCCTGGCCTTGTTCTGTCCTTGTCCAACTTTGCTAACTTCTGTAAGTGCCTTGCTGTTCCTGGTAGACATCAAGTTGATTTGCATGATAGGTCAAACCCTTGCCAGAAGTGCTTCTGGAGAGTTTAGTAAAACCAGGACAATGGTGTTTCTCAAAGTGCCTTTATTCATGCAATAATTCAGCATTGCTTATACCTGTGAACATGAATTGCAGATTGTTGGGTTTGCTAAAATACTTAATGGCAAATAGTTTACTGAGAAAAGTGCATAAAAGAGCATATAATCCCAAAAGATAATTTAATACAAAGCAGAGTATACTGTTGTTTGCCAAAGTGAGATAACAGGCTAAATGATGAAAGGAAACTTTTCTGATAACTCATCCCAGCACTAGCTTCTTCAGAAGCAATGAACAGACTACTGTAGCTAACCTGGAGCTGGCCCACTGTATGAAATGCTGGTTGTGTATTACAGATTGCACTGCATTACTTCAGAACTGTAATTCCTAATTTAGCATGCATCTATATGTGTAATAGACACCTCTGTGGAGCTTAACTGAAGCTCTTACCTACCTAATGGCTGCTGTGTGGTCACCCTTAGCCTCCATCAAATAATGAACACTGTTGCAGGGCAGGGTGTGCTGGCAGAGTGAGTGGGAGAGGTAGCAAAATCATTGCTGATTAGATGTATAAGGTTCTGGTGGAAAACAGTGTGCGCCCTAGGCAGTAGGCAGGCTGAGAAGATGTGCAGAGCTTGATGATGAGACGCTGGGAAGGCTTTTCAGACTTAGCAGTGCTGGGATGAAACAAGCTGATGTCTGGGTTGGGAACTAAGAGCATTTTGGTCCAATACCTTAAGCCCAGTGGAAGCTGTGTGAAGGATTAGAGGGAGCAGGTATGGTGGGACAGGTCTCTCAGTGCAGATTTGTGGTGGACACTTGAGAGTCATCTCCAGTTTCTGGCTTAAGTTCCCTTACAGTGTGAAGCACAGCTCCTCCAGCTGTGTTTATGTACTGTGAGGAGAGAGCTAGGGTGTGGGCCAGCTTCCTTCACAGCTGCTGGAAACCATTCCTACACATGCCTACCTAGGAGGAGTATGGCCAGCTCCCCAGAAACTTGTACTGCTCTTCTGACAAAAGTGCTATAGAGGAGAGCAGAAGTTACTTTTACTTTGTTTCTAGCTGTGTGACTGGACCTGTCTGGCTGTCCTGAAAAGTATTGTTTGTACTTAAAATTAGCCATTTATTTAAGTTAAGCTCATTGGTTAAATTAATTTCCTTGACAGTTGCAGATGCAATTAGTTTGAGAAATGCTGAATTGAAAAGTGTGGCTTCAGCTACAAGAAAGAGGGAATTAGGAGGAAAAAGGGAATGCTTCCAGAAGTTGCATAAGGGCCATTCAGAAAACTGGACTGCTAGGCTAAGACGCTGTTTATTTCTGTATAATTTCACTCCACAGAGTTTCTCATTTTGTTGGTCAAACCTAAACAGAGCAACCTGAATTGCCTGAAGACTTCTTGTGGAGTGGCAAGTGTGAGGTTGCACCAGAACACCTGACTCCAAATTGTGATCAAATTTCAATAAGCTGCTGTCAGACACCAGTGTCATTTCATATCATGGTGTGAAGAAGTCCTTCCATAGGTGCCTGGCAAATACATGCTTGACTTTACTGCATAACTGGAATTCACATAATATGAGTTTAAACAGTGCTTCCTTGGGCCAAGTGTCCTCTGCTTCCTAAACTGACAGGATAATGTGTTGTTGTCTAGTGTCTTTGGAGGATTTGAGAGCATGGCTCTGCTCAGACCATACCTAATATACAGCAGCAGGAGCCACTTTCCAGGCTGAAATGAAGCTGGAAGAAGTACAAGTGGGAAGGGCAGTTGATTTTTGTACAAAGCCTACCCAGATGAGATAGGGTCCTGCTGTATGTGACACCAACCAGAAGGGCTCCTTACCTAAGTTGTTGGCTGTAGGACCAGGAGCAGGCAGGTCTGTTCATTCCCTTCCCAGGTTCAGGGAGTCCTAAATTCTCCCTGGAGCCACTGACGTTACCAGTTACTTGGCAGAGAGGCTGGTTTGTTTTTTGAAGTGCAGCCTTCTGAGCAAGAGAGCTGTGTGGACTTGCTGTCCATGAAGTCCATACTGCTTTTGCTGGTTGTTGCAGACTCGTAACTTTCGGTCCCACCCCACCCTCTGTTCTTTCAGTCCCTAAGCTACCTTGTCTGTCCTCTACTTGGATACTCACTGATGGGAGAATGCTGGCAACGTGCTCCAGACTGCACTTCTGTAAATGAGTGTGTGAGCTAAACCCAAGGAGCTGTGGCTGCTTTCCTGGCCTACTTTGAGACTTTTGCAGGAGTGATAGCTGAAAGGCCAGGACACTATAAGCAGGTTTAGGGAGGTGGCTTGGGCATCCCTGGAGTAGCAGGAGCCACCTAATGCTGACTCAGGTTTGGGTTAATTAAGAATGTGTGTGGTATATCTGGGAAGCATGGGAATGGGGGAGAAGTGGAGAACAGTTTTGGTAGGAGGCATGGGCCACTTCATTGTCTGCCTGGGATGACTACAGCCTGTGCTCTTCCAGCTGAAGGTCTCCACAAGAGCGGAGTCTCGGCTTAGTTTCACCCGCAGTTCCATCACCTCTTGAGACAGTGCTGCAGGCCTGTCATCCCTAGGGAGGTCACCTGGGAGCCTCATTTTACAATAAACTGTCACTAGGTATGCTACATACGTGCTCCAAGGCTCAGACATACCATGCCCAGCCCATCAGCTCTTTTGCACCTTCCATTATTTAAAACAAAATTGAACATTTAATCCTTTTATTTTGTCTACTCTTTAGTGGCATAGCTTCATCAGGAGTGGGGCAGAATACTGTCCTACACAAATGACGGGCCTGATTTTTCAAGTGTTCCTCCAGGCAGTAAGAGATGGTGGGCTGACTCTCTCCAGGCTGAGAAAGGAATTGAGCCCACATCTTGCCTTTGAGCCACCTGAGTAGAAACCAGTACTGTTGGTAGGTCTTACAGGAATGTCATGGACCTTAAGCTGACAGGGCAGACAAAGGCAGCAGAGTTCAGTGTATATCCAAAGTAGACAGAACCATACTCACTCTCCTGATAACCTTAGTGTTTCCTCTAGTTATGTCTACACAGCTCACTGCCATATACATCCTGAGGCTCCTAGTACTCCCTGTAAATTTATTTCCCACAGAGTCACAGATTTCAAGCCAGTGACCAAGTGGCTTAAAATATGTCACCACAGTGCCTCCTATTTAGGTGCCCAAATCCTCTGTTGGATATTGTTCATGACTTGTCAGAGTACTGAGTCTGCCCTTCTGCACTTTCAGCAAATTTGTGTGAGAACCACGTTCAAGAGAAGACAAGAAGTTCAGTCAAACCCAGAGGAAGAATGTTCAAAGTTTTCTTTCACTCTCATCATTAGAAAATTCTACTATGGCTGTTTCTTTACTGTCCAGGTTTTCCCACAAGTCCTGCATCTCAAATGTTTGTGGAGCACAAGCAGAAGTACCATTTTTCCCATCACTTAATGTCCTTTGCTGTGAAGTAGTCCCAGAATCTGTTGAAGGTGGTGCAGCATCAGTGTTTGATGCTGTACTAGGACTATGGAAGCTTGGTAAACTCCATCGCTGAAGGTTTCTCTCATGATCTGTTATGAGACCAGCTATGTTACTAACCTGGGGCTCATGTTTGGGCTCTCCTATCACACTGGGAAGTGACTGATGCACCTCTGAACTTGAGAGGTATGGAGTCATTTCTGGGGGGAAGAACTGTTGGTTCAGAAGAGCCACATTTGCCTCAGCTAGGATCCTTTGGAGCTTCTCTTCTGGCATGCTTGCGGAGCGCTCTGTTGGAGGGTCTGGTTTGTCCAGCACATCAGGCTCAATCTCCTGGGCTTCAGAAACGATGACCTCAGGAACTGGCCTGGTTGTCTCAGATGAGGTGTCACTGTCACCAAACTGTGCCTCGTTCCTTGAGGTTTCTGTTATGGGTCCTAGCTCTCGGCTACCGTGAAGTCTGTTACTTCTGGTAACTCCTTCATGTTTCTTCTTGAAGCTTAATGTAGAGTGCCTCCCTCTTGTGTGCATTTCCTGCAGCCGTCTGATGTGCCCCTTCTCATCTGCTGGGAAAAAGACCGAATTCTCACTCGTCTGCCGACTGTAGCGCTGGTGAGTTGGGTATGAAGGACCCTCATGGACACTGAGAAACCTCTTGACTCTTCTCAACACTGAATACTGTCTCTGGTGTTTCTCCTCTTCCCAAGGCCACTCTTCCCCATAGAGAAATTCAGTATCAGCCAGCCTGCAAAGTAAAGCCAGGTAGTAGATGTCACTTAAATATAGGAAGCATCTATGCACATTATCCCTCTGTCTCAGGCATAGGACACATGACATGGGAACCAAAGCCCTAGTGTGTCCCTAAAGAGAAGGAAGAAAAGGATGAGGGTGCCAGGAAAGAGTGTCTGTGCCTTTGAATCAGCCAGATCACACAAAGAGCTTTTCACATCCAGAAGTCTCTTTTCCTATGGACCAGGCTGGGAAGGCATCCAGCCAGGCATCTGGCACCATTTCATATTTGAGCTGCAGCCTTCTGAGGCAGCGCCACATGGTCAGGCTTGTGTCAGGGTGAGGGAAAAGGGGAGAAAGGAACCCTAGTCAGTGCTGTAGTTACTTTTTCAGGAGAATCCTTCAGGCAAAAAAAACAACAGTGAAAAAGCTACTGCTGGAAACAGAGGACAACAGTTTAAAAAATGTTGAAACTACTCATATGGCCAAATCTCATTTACTTCTGGGGCATGACAGTGTGTCTGAAGGTCTCACCTGTACCTAGTACTCTTCTCCTGAATAGCCTTGTTGCTTCATGAGAACAACTATTGCTGCACATGCCAGTGAATTCAGGACATGGCACTGACTCAGTGCAGTCTGGACAAGCCAACTGGCCCAGTTACCTGTCCTAAGGATAAGAATGGCAAAGGGGCTTGGGCCAAAGCTGAGGCAAGGAGCACAGGCAAGACTAACCTGGAGGGACAGAGGAACTTCATCCAGCATTTCTGGAGATCATAGAACCTCCAGAATCTCCTTATGCTGAAAGGAACCTTTAAAGGCATCTAATCAAACCTCCCTGTGATGAGCAGGGAAACCTTCAACTATAACAGGTTGCTCATTGCTCCATGCAACCTGGCCTTGAATGTTTACAGGGATGGGACACCTACCACCTCTTGAGGCAACTTGTTCCAGATATTAGCTAGAGGAGACTGGAGAAGACTTTGGGTTTGGGCTCAAGTTTTATATATTTGCTTTGGATTTGGAAGGATTTTAGAGCTTGTTTTTGAAGTTTTTGTAAGAGTTATCCATAATTTTTAGAGATATGAACAGAGAAACGTTTCACATGAGAAGATAATTAATAAAAAGTCAACACCTCAGAGCTGTTTGCATTCCACAGGAGTGATCAGAGAGTTACTTCTCATTCTCTCCTTCCTTAATTTTTTGTGTAAAGTACCTTTTATTAGATATTGTTTCCACACTGAATGATGTTTCTTTTTTGCCACCTTTCCCCCCTAGAAGTTACCTTAAAATAAATTATGTTCTATGAATTTTTCTTCTTTACTTTTTTTACTTCCTTCTTTACTTTTCTTTTTGCCATTTTATAGTTTTTTCCAGAAGGAAAAAAAACCTTCTGAAATGGCTGTGTGTGATAAACCATTGTCCTTTGTAGTAGAATGAAAAATGAAAATGAAAAAATAAGAGGAAGAAAAATGTGAAAGCCACAATCTTGAGGCCAAATGAAACAAAAAATTAAAGACACTTTATTTTGATAAAGGTGGGAAATTATGGGAAAGTTGTAAATATCTTGAGATAATTTTTAAAGTAAAAAAAAATTCTTCTGTAAAGTTTTAAAAAAGGTTTTCAGATGAAAACATCTACTTGCCTTGTATTTTCTCAGGCATGATGGTATTTACACTTATTGATCTGTCTATTTTACAGCATGCCACAAGTATGTAAACTAGCATCTTCTAAGCTAGCTGGCCTGTCACTAATTCCTCATATAGATCCTGACAACAGGGGGCAATCCCATACCCTCTGTTCTTTGTAACCATTATTCTTTGCTCATCTCTGCAAATAAATCCTCTTCATACCTTCGCAAAATCTGTCCATTTCAACTTCCATGCCAGGATTATTAGTCAATGAAAAGTTATACAACATTTAAGATGGTTCCTTGTTGATCTTCACAAAAATCTGGACTGATTTCAACTGTTGTCTGCTAATTAAATGAACAAAGCAATAACTGTTTTGCTAACTGGGAATGCATGAAGAAGCTGTAGCAAAGCAAGTATCATTAAGATAAGTCAGTCACTGTCTTCAGGTATCATCCTGTGCTTAGGGACTATCAACAAACCCTCACTGCAAACACGCTCTATTTATTGATTATACAATTTAAGATCTGCGTGCACAACTTGGATGAACACATAGACCACTGAAGACATCCTCCCCAGCCTGCCCATTCCCTCCTAATTTCTTTTTCCATTTCCATGTTCTCTGCTTGAAGTATTGTCAGAGCCCGCATCCCTGCTCTGACTGTCTGCCAGTCAGTGCAGACTGTTGGGCTGGTGATCTTTCTGATGGCATTGAGGACCCTTAGTGCCACTCACCCCATTTCAATAGTCGATCCAAGAAAGGAAGGAATACAGTAATCAGCAGCTGCTTTTGTGTAGGGTGGGCGGGCAGAGGTATCATTCCAGTAAATATCTTTCTCCATCCTTGGCAAGTTCATGTGCATCTCATCCACAGCCAGAAGTGAAACCTTAATTTTTTTTTGCATAAATCATGTCACTTTCAAGATAGTGGAGTATATGAAATAGTCTACTTTATACTCCCTGGGTCAACATTTCTTACACCCTTTAACCATTTCTTAAACCCCTTAACGTAAGCTGTGTATGATGGCCTGGGCATTAGGAAGAGACTCAGTATTACAAAATAAACCCCCTATATCTGCCTATATTCATGAAAGGATACATTTTATCATAACTTGAACCTTCTGGACTGCAAAGATATTTGTGCCAGATTGAAGTCCTTCCCACATGAATAATTAATTAAATGTGATCCTTCATCTGCTATGGAAAATCTGTGTAAAGTATTACACATGTGCTCCTTAAAATGTCCAGAGGTCAAGAATCATTCTGATAGGCTTCATTGCCATTTTAACATTCTGAATCAAGTATGTAAACATCCTTCTAATAAATTTTACACAAGAGGCTCTAACAGTAGCATGAGTATCCTGACATGGTACTAAGCCAGAGAGAATCTTTATCCATATGAAGTCCTTTCCCATTCTTGCACATACTTGCATGGCTTACTCTGGTTTCTTTGCTTAATTTGGTGGCTTATTTGGTCCTTGCTTCCCCTAACTCCTGAGCTCTGCTTTCCTGGAGTGGAGTTCAACAGCAGCTCAGCCAGGCCTGTGCTTTGCTCTATGCAAGGGGAGCAGCAGGTGTTGTGGGAACTCCTCATGTCTCTGAGCTCCTTGACAGCCCAACAGTCAGGACTCTTTGGGAATCAGGGGTAACTGGAATAAAACTGTACCCTTGCCATCTCACAGCCCCTATGACCGGGGACACTGGCTCCTGGGCTGGCCACAGATACTGCCATGGGTGACAGCATCCCAACATGAGTCATGGTACTGGCCCTGCTTATTAGTGTTTTTACTGGTTTTGCTGCCTTTCTTTTTAAAGGAATGTTCATATGTAATATTTTAATCTCGAGACTTTCAAATTAGCAAAATGTGTTCTTATCTATGTTGGAATGAATTTTGGATTTTGCAGGATTGACCTACATTGCATGTTTTTCCAGGCATAGAGTGGTTTTATAATTTAAGCTGTTTGCATGTTTAGTCAGGCATTCTAAATGCCAAATACCAAAATCAAGATGAATTAGCTTGTGAAAACAAACTCTGTGGATCACAGCCACAGGTTATCCTTCAGGGAAAGAATATGTTTTGCTAACATTTTTTGCCCTGATTTATTCCTCAATTTAAGACATAGTATTAGATGTAATGATAACCTATGGTAGAATAAAGCTGGAAGTAGAAATAACAACAGCAACCTGTAAATTTCTATCGATGCACCAGTTAGTTTCAAAATCATCATCATCTTCTCCAAATGGATTAATGAGTTGTTCAGCGACCTGAAAAGAAAACAAGACAGTGAAGAGAGGTTGGCATGCCATGTCACGACTAGTGCTGCAGAGAAAGTAGGATTGGATTTTTTGCTCTCTGCCTGCCTGTCACTTACAATCATAACTTGAGCTCTGTGTGATTGTTCAGCCAGCCTAGTAAAGCTTAGTTTGCTTTCACTATAGATTCGTATCTCTGTGCCTCGCTGGTGCTGTCAATCATAATTGTCAGTGCTGGCCTACTGGGAATTGTGACGTGTCTGGGCCAAGGTAATTGTCATATCCAATAGTCATTACCTTTCCTTACTGTTGTCTTTGGCTCATTTAAATCAATGGTTTAGCAGCTAGAGGTTCTGTTACTGTACTGTCTGCAATAGTCCACCAGCCCACGGGGTTAGTATTCTCAAGCCTTGCAGCTGGAGTTTGCTGGAGGGAGTGGAGCTCATCTCTCCACCTCAGTCCTCAGCCCCTATTTCTTTATCAGCATTAACCCCAATGGCAACCTTCCAAGGCTTTTGAAGAAAAGCATCATACAAAAAACTTGAGTTAACTCTGCATCATGCTAGCCAAATCCCAGAGACAGAACCTGATTCTGGTTCTCAGTGTGGCCTGCTGGTTTGGGTTTCTGTTCCTAAACAGGCTGAAACTGCAGGGCAGAAGTTCATCCTGTGGAGGACACAATCAAACAGTGAGCTCAGACACATTTGTGGTGAGGTACCTTAGTCTGGGAACTAGTCTGGAAAAGTACCCTCTCTGGCTCTCCATATCCAGTGAAAAAACCCACAGAGACTACCCCCCACCCCTGTGATCACTAAAGTATATCGTGTGGAGAGTAAACACATAGCTGCTGGTGGATTAAATAGAAAAAAAAAATTAGGAAATTTCAGACTGCTTCTCTATTTCCTAGTTTCTTGGTATGCTGACATTAAATATCCTCTCCCTTCCATTATTTTCTCCTTCTGGTTATCTTTTTAAGCCCTGGTTTTGAAGGTGATCGTATTCTTGATAACCCTTCCAAGCCTTCCTTGTGATTACCAGGGCCATACACAGGAGCAGCAGTCAGGTCCTTTGTTTAATGTGGATATGGGTAAAGCAACTGTATGATTAAACAATCTTGTTTATTAACATCACTATGGACAGCTATGACCTAAATAACTTATAGCTGCAAGGCAATTGCTCCCTGGATGTTTTTCCTATGTGCCTCTAGGTTGTACCTGTGGATAAGGACTTGCTGCCTCTCTGAGGCCACGAACTCCCAGGTCAGCATTGGCACAGAGCAAAAGAACTGCTGAGTAGATTTAACACTACAGAAACACCTGTAAGGTGGGAGCAATGAAAGGAGACAAGGGTCACCTCTGCTCACACTCATTCACATGGGTATTAAATTCTGGGTACAGCTATGAAAGTGCTGCAAAAGGGAGGAGCCAGAACACAGTCTGTCTTGTGGCTCTCCAGGGAAGACATGGATCAGCTTCATGTAAGCCAGCGGACCACCACCCAAAAGTACACCATAAAACCTATCACATGAGCTTAAAAAAGTGAGGACTGGGACAGTGCAAACAGTGGTGATGGGTTTTTTTTTTTGCTGACCTGGTCCTTGCATGTGAGACATGACTTTATTCTCCAGGAAGGAATGTAGTGCTGGACAACTAAATTCTTTATTTGGACAGTTCATTTGTCCCTGTAAAGAAAATGGGGATTTAGAAGTGTCTCATGTAATGGGAAATTTTGGCCCTGTATTATAGGTATAACAGACCAGGCTTCAGGCCAAGGAATGAGCTCAGTTTACCCATTATTTCTGAGGAATTGCCAAGTTACTGGAAGTCAATACTTCAGGTCCCTTTTTGCTGCCTGGCAGCCAAAGTCCAACACATTCAGTAGAAAACTGGCTGTAACCTTCAAGACAGAAATATCCTGACTCCAGGCACTGAAGGTTTGGATGAACCCCCAGTCTGAGGAAACTCTGCTAATATTAAATTAACTTTTAAAAACTTCTCTTTTTGATTTTGCTGAAGATTTTTCAGTTACAAAGGCACCTCATACCTGCCACAGCCAGTAGTTGGCTGGAAGCTCTGAGCCTAACTATAGGAGGAGATGCTATAAACCTCCTTGGGTGATGAAGAAGGAAAACCCATTTCCCCTCAGGGGCACCAGCAGGGTGGTCAAGAGGAACAGCTTACAGTTTTTAACCCTTTAGTATATTGGGAAGACACCTCCTACAGGTAAAGCCTCACTTTTCTCCAGAAGTTGCTACCTTCACTGTACCAGCCTCCCTTCCTCTCTCTCCGACCCCCATCCAGGCTGGTCCCTATGCAGCAAAATGCCTTTCCCCCTCATTTCCTAGGACACAACACTAGAGGAGCTTGTCCTGCATGCACTTTACTTTTCTTCACAATCTGCCAGCTTGGTGTGCTGCCTTCTTTACTCTGCCCTTCGAAGTTGGCTGTGGAAAGGCATGTCTATGGCCAATTATATTCAATTTATATTCTTGGCTGTGGAAAGGCATGTCTATGGCCAACTATATTCAATTTATATTCTAACAGAAAAGTTATATTCTAATAGAAAAGTTAGTTCTATATTTCCATCCATGATTAATAAACACAAAAGAAAATATAATGTACATAGACCCCTATGAAACTTTTCTAGCAAGTCTGTTCAGAGGAGAGAACCACCTTGAGGTACGTGGTGTGATTAGTCAGCTATCAGATTGATTGTGATACACTAGCCAGCAGTCATCAACAGGTGGATGGGCAGCATCCAATTCCTCTACAACTCTCCTTTTTAATGAACACTTTTATGCAGTGGAGTTCTAGCCAATATTGTCTGTTACTCTTTCATAGCCCTCTGGAACTGGAGACCTTTAATTGCCTGCATCTGATGAGGTTAACAGCAGATACTTCCAGCTTTGATCATAAGAAGAAAGTATCATTCAGTCCCTTTCAGCTGATGCCAGGTCTGCAGCCATAGTTCCCCACTGTAGAATGGAGTGGGAGAAAGGTTTTTTAATCCCTTTTCTGTCACTTTATAGTTAAAGTCCTGAGATTTGTGGGAGTAATACTCCCTTGGGGAGTTGTCCAGCATTGGTGCTACTAAAACGGGCTCTTTCAGATTCATGACCATTTCTTACTATACCGTCTGTCAGGTGGAAGTAAAAATGTATTGCATTATATTTCTATATGACCAGAGAACACTTCAGGCTGAATTAATCTCTGGTGTAACTTCAGTATTCATTGGAGATTTTACATGGGTATCACAGAACTGACACCTTGACCAGCCCCCCAGGGAGGGTTCCCCCATCACCTGTCCAGAAAGCCAGTTTACCTTGAGCCATCCTGCATAGAAGAAGAACTGCAGCAGTGTGAAGATTGGAATGTAAATATCTAAGTCATGTCCCTGATACCCTTGGTCAGTATCCAAAAATTGACGCCCTATCAGGCAGGCAAAGAAAAAGGTATAGACTGCAAGAGTAACCACCTGCAAAGAACAGAATTTCATTGAGATAATGAACCAAGACAATTTTATGCATAAGGCAACCCATACCCAAAGCCCTTTGTCTGCCTTTTGCCATATAATTTATAAATCTATAGGAGGTATTGCAAATACAGAGGCTGCAAGAATAATTATGGCCAGGAAGAACACTCAGGAAGCAGAAAAACATTTCAGTGCTTCCCTCCCCTCTTCCAAATTAGGCAAGATATTAAAAATATCTCTACATTAAATATGCCTTAAATAGTTAGCCAGGCCTCCATGATCCTGTGCAAGTGAACCAGTGCTCAGTATCTCAGAGACTCAGGTCAGGACTATGAATGTTTTATACCATAAATGTTGGGTACCAACACCCCTTTTATGGAAATTGTGTTTTGAACTTTCTACAGGATAATAGCTCAGTACCTGGGTATAGACCAGTGGAATTCCAACCCAGTCATAACCAAACAAAAGGCTACACCACGACCGGTACTTATTCATCTCCTAAAAGGGGAATAAAAACATCAACCAGCAAGAAACCACAACAAAATAAACTTGCATGGGATACAATTCTGAATTATAAATATTTTGTTGCAGTTCATTTTTGCATATATAAAAGGACAGGGAGACAAGAAAGCATAGTATGTATAAATTGATACTATAACTGTACCCAGCACCCCATTTGAATATTGACTTGGTTTATGGATTTGGAGTACTTAGTATACTTTGTATTTCTTCACAATTCATCTTCTGTTTCTGTCTTATTCACAGTCTAGTGATACATGAAAGAGAATATATTACATCATAAAAAGGATGTTTTACCATTAAATGAAATATTCAGGAAGATAATCTCTCCCTGACAGTAAAATCTTCAAAATGCCATATTATTCTCACTTCTCATATTTTTAGCAATGGAACAAGTATGAATTTAGAGTGATGTTACAATAATTTTTTATTTATCAATTTTTTGTTTCTTTCAATACCTTCTTAGTCATATTAAAAAGAATCCCAGAGAATGCTGTTGTGTGTTTAAGTGTGCATTGGTACACAAAGAAAAGTAGGATAAATCCTGAGTAAGGTCATTTAGATGACACAGGAGATCTGTTCATACTAAATAAAAACATTTATGTAAGTGAAAAGCAATTTCAGATTAGTTTTTTGTGTATTTCTTTTTTCTACTTACATTCATCAGTGTCTGCAGATCCACACTGTCTCGAATTCTTCCCTCTTTTCGTGCCTTTGATGCCAAATTTCCGAACCAGACAAATGGGACCCAGTATTTCAGGTGGGGAGACTTAAGGTCATCAAAAAGTTTTCTTTCATATTTTGTCATAAAACCTGTATACCAAAAAATCAAAACAACCTTCATTTATTCTGTGCTTTCAGTATTACTGATACTATATGTTTGGAATATGTTTCTTTTTATGTAATATTTGCATAGAACTCTGCTAAACGCAACATATAATTCTAACTAGTAACCTCCTCATAAAAACAAAAAAAAATTTTGGCCGGTTTTTGTTTGAAGGACTTTTTTTTTGCTTTATTTCCTTTTGTTAATTTCTTTTTTCCGATTTTGGGCACCATTTTGTTTTTACTGTGTTTTTATATCTAACTGCTGATATATGGTAGATGCATAGAATAGTAAGAATTGCACAAATTACTCTCTAGTTTCATATTCTACTTTCATAAAAATAAGGACCTGGATACATCCATCAAGAAACATTTTTCATCAATGATGGGTTTCAGAAGCATTTTGACATATTGTAAGTGCAGTTATATGACCTTCTGATCCTGATAATTTTTTGTTATATCTGCAAAGCAGTGATCAAGCAACAGAGGATATAAGTACATGCATGAAACAAAGCCCAACAGAGTGTTCCTTCTGCCAGTGAAATACTTCCCTGACAGATTGTTTGTTGTTTTCTTTGGCATTATGAAGGCATGCAAAGAGATGAAGAAGGAATCATGCACAGACGTCCTGCTGCTAAGGGGACACTGGGCCAGGTGACATGCTGTGGGTCTGCAGGCTGAAGATGCTCTCTGCCTGGCAATTTGCCTTGCTGGGATGCTGGGAAAGTGTTAGGTTGCCTGAAGAGTTCCCCTGCCTCGTGAAGCCCTGCTTCACCCTGCTGCAAGGTCACATAGCCAGGGAGCCAGGGCTGTGTGTGTGACAAATCCTGCACCAGAGCCAATCTCTGCCCGGGACTGGCAAGGGAGCAGCTGGCTTTTGGAGCAACACCTCCACCCCTCTGGGGAAGAAAGCTCTGCTCTACTGTCCTCCTTCTACCCAGGCTTTGACAAAAATAGCCTCAGAAAATTCACATTTTCCTTTGTCCAAACCCTGGATTTTCTGCTATTGTCATATTTGGAGGGTCTTAGATTTTGCACAGGTATGTGACATCTATCAGGGTGGGTATAAAGCTTATTTTGTTGTATTGACATTAGCTCTGAAATAAGACAAAGGTAGTAACACAACAGCAACAAAATAGGGGGCTCAGCCAACTAATTACAAGTTTGAATGCTGAAAATTCAGTAAGGGAATTGACAGTAGACTCCAACGAGTAATTAAGAATTTGTCCATTATAGCTAACATTGCTAAAGACATATGACACAGCTAACAAATAAATATATAGAAACTCAGTTGTGTTGCATAGAAATGTGAATTAAATTACAGGAGATTTGCTAAACACAGTGATCTTAAATATTCTGTTGTTGAGGAAAATGTCACTAATGTACAGTTGGAACAAGCCTACACAGGAGGTATGAAATGCTGCAACTACTGAGAAGGAAGGCAAGGACAGGACAGAAAACACTGTAGAAGAGGAAATATTCAGCAGCAAGAGACAGTACTCATGCAGTATCATAGAATTTCAGAACTGAATAAGATAAAGCTTTTAAAAGTTCCCTGGGCGTTTTGCAGCCACTTCTCATAATCAGAAATAATCAGGCAACCAGACAAATTAACCTGCTAGTTATGGCTCCTGACTCCTAAAAGTCAATCTTTCAGGCTGCCTTTAGTTTTTGTTCAGCCAGCCTGCTTATTTCAGGACAGGAAAAGATGCTTCTGTCAGGCTGAAACAGACAGACAGAAAAACAAAAAATTGAGCCTGAGGTAAACACTGGATGCAAGTCACTTGGAGGCTCTGGAAAGACACAGCCTGAAGGGGTCACAAAGAATAGCAAGGATCAGTTCAGCTTTCCACTGAAATTGGGCACCTTCTGTTCAGAAAGCTCAACAAAGTTTGATTTTTTTAATGATAAGGTTCAAATTGGCATTGAAGTGTTTGTGTTAACATTGATTAAATATTCTCTTTGATTAATATCAATAATGCCTAGTATTCTTATTGCAAAAAATACTAATTCTGGATTGCTCTTACTGGTGGCAATACAGACAACATACTGTTATTGCAGGGGTAAAGAAACACTTTATATTCCATCAAATATAGGGGAGGATATAAAATTTCAGTTATTAAAATTACATGGTTTCTAAATATGGTAATGCTATTTTTATTTAAGAGTATTCAAAGAATTAACCAAGAAGCTCTATAAACAAGAATACTGGTTTTGACAAGCACTGGAAGACTGGAGCAGCTCCAGAAGATGGGAAATATTTGTCAAATATTGTGCCAAGATCAGGAAAAAGGATGATCTAAGGCATTTCAGGACACTGAATTCTTGTGAAAGTATCAAAAGAGTGACATGGAGTGCAATCAATAAATAATCAAAGGACACTAATGTGAACAGTGTCAGCCAGAGAGATCTTACAGGGAAATTATTGATGAGAACACAAACCTAGCTGGGACAAAATCACTCGTGCTCTCCCATGAGTGATTCAAAGAGTATTCATTTCTCCTGTCAAAACTCAATGGTTTGAGACAAGACTGGTTTAGATTATTCACTGTAAATATTTTTAATACTAGTGGTTAGAGAAGAAGGAACATGATCAAGTAGATAAAAGTTTCATTTTCTGCTTCTGTGTTATGTGGGAAAGGGTTAATTTAGGTGCTTCCTTCCAGTAGAGGATTTGGGACTGCAGTCTTCAGCCATCCATAGATATTCATGTTGCTGAGCTCACACCTCATATTTCTCTTCAGTGTTTCCCATCAGCTCTTTTGGGGTGCTCTCTGCTCTGCTGCTCACTCATTACTCTGTTTTTTAACAGTTGTTCTCTTGAGCATCCAACATCCCTCTTGCACTTGCAGCCAACAGGATTGCTGTGCTCAGCTGCTAAGCATTTGACACTTCCTGCAATCAGCATCATAAAGGAGTGAATCCACATGGATCTACTGTTTACAGTTCCACAGATTGTTAAAACATGAAAAAGAGTCAAGGAAGGTCCAGCACTCAAGACTGTATCCTATAGGCAGAGCCTACAGTTGGTGAAGCTCCTGAGTTTCATTCAAGCCTTTATGCAGTGTGCTAACATGTAACTATTGAGGGAAAATATATGTTTTCTTCTAATTAAAAAAAAGAAGAGCCCAAACCTATCCTCTGCAACACAAACCTATGACAAAATCTAGTGAATAGAAGATAACACTGTGCAAGTTCAGACTAAGATGTCACTCTTCAACAGCCGGTTTACTGTTGTGAATGTCTGTTCACCTAGGATGTGGTTTAGTCTCCAGTATATCCATCTGAATTTTAAATCTGGGCTGATTATATTCCTAGAAGGTATTACAGCTCAGTCAGAAATTGCAGCATGTTAAAGGATGATGTTAGCAAGCTTTTGTGCCTTGTGTTATGGATGAGTCAGACTAGATCATTGTGATACTGTTCTCAAATTTAAAATCTATGAATTTAAGCAGTTCATTTGCTGAAAAGAGAAGTATGTAGCAATAATCATGTCATGGCAGTTCTCAGTTTGACAGCAAAATGCAAAATCGTCATAATTTGTTTCAATGATGACTGTGCTGTAAGTATCAGATTTGTGCTGTTCACATTCATACTCAATGCCTCTCTCCTGTGCAGTCTGATATGTAATGCCACAGGGAACAAGGGAGGGGATGATTGCAGAGTATTGTCTAAGTCACTGGATGTTAATAGGAGCGAAATATACCCTGAAAAGCTTGGTACTGCATCAATAAAAGCTTTGCAGCACAATATGCATTAAAACCTACAAAAAAAGTACTGAAATCCAGAGCTGACTACACTGTCTATACTTGCATACACAGTTTATTTCATAGTAGAAGATTTTTCACTGTTAAAAAACCCAACAATCAAAACTTGCTTTCCAGTCTACAATTTGGGTACAATGCTGTGACATTCTGTCTCTTTGGAACAGATTGTCTTTAGCAACAGGGAGGCAGAGCTGGATTATCTGCCTGGAAATGTTGTAATTTTCCAGTGCATAGTAGAAGCAGATTGCTGGGGACAGTGACAAAATCTTCCTTGACCTCTCACAGGCTCAGGTAAACAGTTTTGTTGTACAGCACAAGGAAGAGAGATTTAAAATTCAATGAATCCAACATAAATGTTTGTATGTTTTTTTGTTTTGTTTTGGTTTTGTTTTTTTTTTTTCCCTCCAGTAAGATTGGTGCATTCTGCCTGGCATTTTTTTTAAATATCCAAAGCTTCTCACACATATTTGAAATGTGTATATGTATATTACACTGTGTGTTTTAACTTGCTAGAACTTTGCTTACTAATATCTGCCAAAGGAATAAATTTAAGAGATTCGAGACATTCAGTAGAGAACATGACTTTGTATTGCTGTTCTACCTCTGACACTGACCATGTCAGTCAGAAGGCACAGTACTACACCTTGCCTTTAAATACTGAGCAGTCAGTCCTTAATAGATAATCAAAGTGTTATACGACTGAAAACTCTTCACCATCATTACATTCATTGTGTTATTGAAAGAAACAGAAAACAAAGACATGTTTAATACTTAGTTATCCTTGAAAAACTAAGTTTAAAGTAAGTTTTCAATATAAAGAAAACCCCCTTGGGGCTGAGGGTTTTTTTGAGTAAATCACAACACTTCAAATGTAATCTATTAAAAATGCAGTCTACTTCAATAAAAATTGAGATAAAGCTGTACTTGTGAAGTGCCTGAAGAGATCAGTCTCTGATACACCAGAACAAGTTATATCCCAGACATTGAGACAATGCCATATAACAAGTCATCATTTCTACTGCATCAAACTATATTGAAACTTGGGGTTTTTTTTTTTTTTTTGTGCTTTAGAGAATGTTGTACCTGCTCCATACACCTGAATGTTTGAGGCAGGCCTATTGCCTCCATGGGGTCTGAAAGCAGATTCACATAAGACTGTCAAACTCAGTTGATTTCTGTAGTGTTGGTAAAGACTTCAAGAATATTAAAGATGCACTCTTAAGGTTATGTGATTTAAGTCACTAACAAAAAGATGATTGCTTTGACGTAGGGTAGTATGAGGAGCACATGGGACCAAAGGAAAGAAAAAATGAGGCTAGCTCCTTCCCTCCTTGAGTCCCCACCTCTGAGAGAAAGCAAAGCAATTTTGGGGAGTGAAGTGCAGTACCTGCTCCAACCACATGGTCCATGGTGGGGAACCTTTTGTACACAGCTGTGCTGACAGAGCGAAAGATCAGCAGAGATGTTAAATTCACGTAACGCATGAGAGTCCTCCTTAACAAGCGCCCATACTCATCCCTGCCCTGCACGCAGCTGGAGATGAGCAACATCAGACGATCTGGCCAAGGCAAGTTCACAAACTGGTTCCACCAGCGATTCACCACCAAAGTAACATAGAAACCTGAGGGTTAGGAGGGAAAAAAAAGTTCAGTGCCTATCAGGATTTCAGTTACTTTAATTTTAGTTTGCAGAGTGTTGTTCATATCACTGAGCTGTTACATTTCCCAGAATAAAGGCAATAGGCCATGTTAAAACCCAGGATACAATAAATACTAATTATTTAATGGACATTACAATGTGACAGGGCATACAGCTAAGTATCTCATACCCACAAATTAACAAATTTCCTCTCTGTAGTAAAACTTAGGGTGAATTAATCTCATTGGAAGATCAGGTATAAGGAATCAGTAGTAGTGAGCATGATCTAGATCTAGATTTATGGAAACCTTTCCTGTTAGTATATTAAAAATATGAGCATAAATGTTGATGTGAAAAAAGCAACTTGAACTTGAGGAGGCCTGATGGAGGCAGATGATTTATTGTGAACCTCAAACCTCCCACATTCCCCTCAGCTCTGAAATGCTTCCATGCACCAACATTCACAAAATGCCTGAACAGAGACATAGTTGAAGAATAATTTCACATTTAACTGGTACTTACCAAGCACAAAAGTTACTGGGATTTGTTCAGCATATCTGTCACAGTAAATTGATAATTTTTCAAAGAATCGTTTTTGGCTACCTGTAAGAAAAAATCTGCAGCAGAAATAAAATGTATCTGTCCTTCCATAATATTCTGGTACTAGATACTAAGTGCAAGCATGTATAAATAATCAGATATGTACACTGGGGAGCAACCTTGGCTAATGCCTTCAAGCAAATTCTTAAAGGTAAAGGTCTGAATGCTTTTGGCAAGTATTAAAGAAGCTGGAGGAAACAACAGTATTATTCCCTGTTTTTTGTCATTTTCTCGGGACTAATTTGACTGGCACTACTAATTGGATCAATATGTCTGGAGAATCAGTTTGCTGTCCCATACAGACCAGAGATGACAGCAAGCTCTAAGTCTGCAAGTAGAGCTTAGTCTCCTTTTCCAGGGTGGTACTTAATGGAAATGCTCAGGTCTGCTTGAATTGCAAAAGGTTACCAATAGAATTCCTCTGATTTGAAAATGTTACATTGGTGCAACAGGGTTTTTATTCTTACTCCTATGAAATTTTTCTTTTCCACAAGATTAAAATACAACTGTATTTTGCAATTAGGAAAATATTCACCAAATTATAGCAAATGGGCCATGGTAGTAGCTTCTGCCCACAGGAAATGATATCTGATAAAATACAACAAGCAGCGGTATAATTTTTTTTTATTTGTGTAGGTGAGTATTACATTTATTCTTTGATTTCTTATAAAAGGAACATATAACAAATATTTGGTGGGTTTTGCTTACAAATGTGCAATAAACTGGAGCACATAGAGAAAGCTTTCTGTGGTTTATTTACCATGGTCTTCAATTGCCTGACATTTCAATAAAACTAAATTAATTAATAACTGTGAGACTTTGGTGTTCCTTTACATATTAATGGTATAATTTTTTTCTTTTTTTACAGGTATAGATTACTGAACAAAAATTAGTGATTAATCAGAGAAAAACTGAAGCTCATTTTCTCCTTCCTTCCAATAAAAAGCAGAGATCTAATTAGAGATCACGGTAAGAACTGAACCATCCTTTTGGTACTTCTATGTAATGTACTTCATCAATTAAAAGTTTCACTGTACTAATTGATGAATTGCATCTGTCATATGGTGTTTAATTCACACCTTGGTAGAAAAAGCAATTCTTCTTGTAATGTATTCTTGCCAGGAGCTGGGTGGCACACAGATAATAACCCTGTCGGGCTTACATGCAGTTTTCTTTGGTTCTTTGCAAGCCTAAAAATCAAGTTTGCATGCCTTCCTAGCTTGAAGCACAACTTTGCTTTTCCTGGATATATAACTTCATTCTAAAATTATTATCTCATAGTGTTGGCAAATTCCCACCAAATTATTACCTCTTGGTGTTGTAAATTCCCAAAGCAAACAGAGTTCTGCAGGGAGAACAAAAAGTCTATACCTTTGATCTAAAGCAGGGAGGCACTCTCACAGCTGCCAGCTCAATGTCAGAATGACAAAATCTAGGCTTGCTCTGAGTTTTTATTTAGTCTAACTTCAGCAGGATGGTTACTCAATGCTAGGCTAAAAGTACAATCAGCTGAATATGATAAACTGTATTGACACTCTACATATTTTCTCTGGAACCTTAAAGTAAACATGGAAAGGTAAACACATTGGAAAATGTCCAAGGAAAAGACAATAAGTAAAGAGTAACCTCCCCCCATCATTCATCAGCCTAACACTAGGAAGTCTGAAACTTCAGTATAACATTTAATGAGATGTGAATTGGAAAGAGTGTACCTGTATAAAACACTTATCGCTGTGTAAAGAGTAGCAAAAACAATAAATTCTCTGTACAGCAATTTGTAGATGCTGCCTTTCCACCTTAGGAGTAATCTGTGAAATCCAAAGAAAGTGGCATTTGCTACTTTGCTGGAATAAGTGACTGTCATCGTCGTAGTAGGCTGGGCCTAGAAACAGTAGAAGAGAAGCAGGATACCAACAACATTTTAGACAGCGTATCCTAACCTGAATGTACCCCTGTATAGACAGATACATGGATATACATGTAAATTTAACCATATAAAATATGTGTACATAAATACATGGTGTTTGTATTCATATATAGAGAGAGAGTGAAAAATAAAAATCTTGCAGTTTCAAGCCCTGTTGAGACCTGCAGATTGACTGATGCAAGGCTGTATTTGGACTTTACGTCAATGACCACCCAAACCCAGCAGTCAGCACTGAATGTGGCCACCTTTCTGGGTGGCAGTGGCAGGGACATATTACACCTCTGCAGTCTCTGCTTACTCTCAGTTTGCTCCACTCTAGTGTGAGAAAATAATAGGAAACAAATTTGCTTGACATTGTTTTCAAAGCTTTTCATCTTGGTAAGAGAGGTAAAGCTATATTCCACAAATGCATGTACATCCCCAGCCATTATTTTTAATTGTCTGTGGTGATTATAATCATTGCAAAACCAAATGAGATTTGGAGACTGCCTCTTTCATTAACAGTTACAACAGCAGCTGAAACCAGCTGGGGAATGCTTTTATTTCTCTCCTTGGCAGCTAGACTTACTCATCAATACTTCAGCATTGCATGGCCATGCAAAACAGCCCTAGGGCTGCTCAGGTAGGTAGTGTGAGACACAGTGTAATTAAAATACAACTGAAAATACACGGGCAAATACTTTGTGCTAGGTTTGGTACTTGCTTACCCAGTGCAGGAAGATGCAGCAGGAACTTTCATATGCTTACAAAACAAATCTTAGCTCCAAACATGAATGAAAGCAGTTTTATACAGCATGCAAGAAAGAGAATAATTAAGACAAGCACAAAAATCTCAATAAAGTTACTGTGTATCACAAATATTATTGTTGTCTATAATTTTGTGATGTCACTGTAGCAAAGTTATTGGGGGGGTGGGAGAGAAAAATCTGAACTCCTAGTTAATAGATGACAAATATTTTGTGCATCTTGACTGTGTCTCTGATATAGAGCATAATGTAAGCCATTAAAATTCACCTGTAAAAGTGCCAGTTTTTATTTTAGTCACCAAGGGAATCATCAGGGAAAAGATACCATAAGCCTTGTATTGCTGACAGGCTGTCTCTTTTCCTCTGCAGAATGACTACTTGATATTTGCCAGCATGGGTCTGAAGATTATTTTTTGTGCTGGGTTTTTTTGTCTTTCTTAAAAAAAAAAAAAAGTATGGGTTTCGGTCCTTAGAATCCAAATGATAGCTTTTCTTTTCCTGAGTCTTGGCACAGATCTTTAAATTTTTTGTTGTCATTGTTGTACTCCAAGAAGTTCTATGCAAGAGCCAACTTGTCTGACTGGCATGCATGGAGATAGAGTCCTGTCTGCTAAAAATCTTGTGGTCAGGAGGCAATGCTTAAGAAAATGGAGGCAAAGATGTCCATTCTCCAGCAAAAGTGCAGCTTTATGAACAATGAAAGAAATCTGTGGCTGGGCTATAGGGGAGAAATGGGGTAAAAAAAAATGCTTAAAAATATATTGTGTTTCCTGGAACTGTTGTAGGAGCCTTTGGATCCTGCCCATTGATGCTGTGGAGCATGTGTTTAAGCCTTGCCACCAACAAGTGTATCTCTATCTTCCCATTAATATCCATGTTGTAATGGAAATCTCCAGTAGGGACTTAGATCTAGAAAAGATGTCTGATAATGGGAGGGCTTGTAGCTTGTCAAGAGGCCAGACCCTCAGCACAACACAAGGCCACAATGAGAGGATGAAGTTAGACAAATGCAGGATGAAACAAAACATAAATTGCTAACTGTGGGGGCAGCCAAATATCAGAACAGGGGACTGGATAGTCACCCTCTTGTTTAGGATCTTTAAGCTGAGGGCAAATTGTAGGACAGAAGATGACCTTCAGGAAGAATTCATATAACTGAGACAAGCAGGGTCTGAGGGGTTCTGCTGGTCTCTCCTGGAATCTGAGCATTTGCTGTGTGCCACAGAGGAAAAAATATTGCTTGAAGCACCCTTGCAGCTTCTGCAGCTCTGCAGGAAGGCAGGCATTCGTGTTAAAAACATGACTTTTGGAGTTTCAGGAAGGACTCCTCCTAGAAATCAGAAAGTGAAAAGTGCTAGAAACTGGTCAGTAGCTAAGCTGGACAAAGTGGGTCTACCTTCTCTACAGACCTGAAACAAATCCTGTCTTGCGAGGCCTAGTAGATGGGTTTTGGCTACAAATGCAGAATTATCAGGAATCAGGATTAAGAATATTTCCCCATGCATTAGACTGGGAGAAGAGTTTTATATACTAAATGCAATTTGTCTGCTTGATTCTAGCAACTATTTTTCATTTCATCCCATTTCAGCCGTCTCTTAGCACCTTACTCAATGCCCTTGACTCTGAATAGAAACTCTTGGAAGACACTGGAGGCCCCTGCTTTTTCTTTCTATCTCTGAAGCTGGGCAAAGAAAAGTGGGACTGTTGCAGCAATTTTAGGCTTTGATGCCTTGGCTTCCTTGCCTTTCCTTGCCTGTGGTACAATCTGTTTTATTCTCTAGCTAAGTAAATGTTTTGCTTAACATTTATCATTGGGTTCATATTGGGACTTCAGGATAATATAATTCAATGTCTTAAAATATACATTAGGTCAGATTAGGTGATTACAGAACAGTTTAGACTATATAAAGCTATGAAAGACAGCTATGCATTTGTCTGGTTACATTTCTCAACACAGCAAACACAAATTTAAATCTGCTTTTGTATTTTTTTTCTCTGAGTACAGCTACAACCATTTAGGTATGGCCTCTCCTTGCAACGGGGAGTTTTGGCCTAAAGCCTTTTGCTGACTCTGGCTCTTGCACAGTGGTCCTGAGTCCTTGGTTCACGGGCAGCATGTTGGCAGAAAGTCCTTCCTACATTACTTATGGCCACAGGAAATTAAAAAGCTAAAACTGAGATGGACAGGAAGAGCAGATAGTAACAATGCCTCCCAGCACATTCCTTCCCGAGCACTCTTGGCCAGGGCTGAAGAAGGACAGAGTACACTAGATCAGATACCACAGGCACCAGTATCATGAAAAACATTCCTAATTATCATTTTGCCTTTAAATTCATCAGCAGATATAGGGCTAGGCTTTTTGCTGGTACGGATTTGTGAGTTTTGAGGACATAACACAAGTTATGACCATTTAATGCCTGTAGAGACCTTGACTCATATCTATGATGCTGCTTTTTCTTTTACTCAGTGTTTATTTCCTTTCTGAATCTTTCTCAAGCACAGACTGAAGTGAGTTATATATTACTCCACTTTGGAGATGATCATCAGAAGACTTTAGGCATAAACAGCTAAAAATATAAGTGTGTCCTCTCCATTAATATTGAACCCAATTGTAAATGGGATTTTTGCCTGGCTGAGAATTTCAGGATGCATTAGGATTCAGAGAGAAACCACAGTACAAAATAACAGCCATCAGTGTTTCCTAACTGACCATGAAAGGCTCTTTACAGAATGTATAAATAAATAGTACCTTTATGCAGACCTACCCCTTGTCATTGTTCATCTTAATTTTTAATTTACGGTATAGAAAGGAAAGTGAGTGAGAGAGATTTGAGTTAAGCCAACTGTAACAACATATTAAGCTTACGCTGTATCCACTGACCTGCTATTTTGATTCAGCAATCCAAGCCCGAAAGCAAATCCTGGACCCTTCCTCTTTCTCAGACGTCCTAAACCAAGTCCCCTTCAGATCTGCAAAAATCACCTTGCTCTTCCCTTAACCTGAAGCAAGGGGTTGCTGCTGCAGAGCCCTAAGAGGAGTGGACTGACAAGAACAGGGGTTAAAATGTCTTTCCACTTCTGGAAGTCTGTTTTTGCCAAGTACTCTGTCCTGTCAGTTACACGGGGAACAAACGCAAGCAGCAGCAGCAGCAGCAGCTGCTGATCTTGCTCTTTTCTAGTCTATAATTATAACGCCACTTGCCATCGGAAGGACCTCTTTCATTTGAATGAAGAATCTTGCAATGTTTTTGGCTGGCACGTACAGGTTTTTTTGCATTTTATTTCCTCCAAAATGGGATGGACAAGAAGAGAGCATTTTTTTCTGAGACTTGTCTTTGAAAGGGATAGGTCTCTAACACGGTCCTGTGAAGACACGTCAATGAATTGCACTGATTACCTGCATCGAAATAGGAAGACCAGAGACAACCCCACAAAACCTGAAAATGTTCCCCATCTGCACCTTGGTCCCACCCTGGAGCACAGCATTTGCTGCATTTCTGATTTGTTGATTTGATTTGAGAAATCAGGTCTCTGGGGCTTGCTGTAGAAATCACTCATCCCTCAAAACAGGCAGAGTTGCTGCTACCAAAAGCTTCAGTGGACCTATTTACAACTGTACATTTCACCATGTGAAAATCCTTCTGCAACTGGAGGTTTTACACAGGACTTCTTTCCCTCTTCCCCTTTGTAAAATGAGATTAACTCTGTCTTTTATGACCCATGGCATTAAGAGCAAGCTGTAAAAGGTGATAGACTGTGAAAGCCCAGGAGATATCATATAATGTTGTCATAAACTTCAGCAGAGAATGAAATAATGTTACTGTGAAGTAAATAAAAAAAAATTCAGGGGAAGAGAATTAGCAAGATTTATAGATTTAATTCATTTTATGATGAAAGATTTTCCCTGCTGCCTTAGTTGCATTAAGCTATTTGAGGCCTTTTATTTAATTAAAACTCTCCCAGAAAGAATGGAAGTTTCTGCTATTGTTTACCTTTCTTCTTGTTGTTAATGGCCGAAGAAAGACACTTTGATGTCAAAGCAGGCGAGATATTAGACTGTGGCATGTGTGTGTCAGGCAGTGGCCTGTGGCAAAAGATGACAAATCATTTTAGCATTCAGTGACTTGGCATGAAGAAACATACTGCCTGATCCTATTACAGAGACCGCCCTGTGCAAGGAAAATTCTTAACAACAGGGATATTTTAAGGTCACGGGGAAAATAATTACTTAGAACTAAAATATTTTTCTTTGCTGAGCATAATAGTTTGCCGGTCTTACTGAGCAGTAAATAATAGCACCTCTACGTGTCAGTGGGTATCAGGTGGTTTTCCTGGCAGCTCTTCAGTATTCCTGCAGATTGGAGTGCCTGAGATTGCTCTACTGTCTCTGAGCTGTTTTGGAGAAAACATGAGATTTAGAGCTCCTATGTTTTCAGAGGCAGAAATAAATACAGGTTTCCCATCTGTGTAGCTTCATTGGGATTGACACTCCTTGTCGGATATTTCCAAAGATAGGCAATGTTTTTACATCTCTTTCTCTGTTTCTCTCTAGGGAAATGTAGTTTCATCTACAAAAATAGTTTTCAGAAGTTCCTTTCTATATGCAGTTCTACTAATGATCACTGATAATGGTGTATTTTGCATTAATTTTCTCTTGATGTACTTTGAACACATAAAAGAGACAAAAGCATTTTAGCACTGTGTAACTAGACAGGTATCATCTAGATAGTATCATCCATGGATGTTTAACAAGACAGCTGAGTGCAACAGATAGAAATCTATAAAATAAAGTTATTTAATATATTTATGCTTTTGACTTCTCTTTCCTCTTGATTTTTGAGCCCATTTATACTGGAAGATTTCTGGAAGAGACATTAATATGTATCATGTGCTAGTGAAGCTTCAAGCAAGCACTTCAGTATCTGTAACGACATTGCATAATGCCAATATCCAAAGAAATGCCATAAAAAATAGGCTAAAATGTGGTCTGAACAACATGAAAGAATTTTCTTATTAAAAGGAAGTGAGTAATTTAAGTGTTGGGAAAAGAGCAGTATTAAAGAACCTGCTGTCAGATTTTCTCAAATGAGAATATATTGAGTTTTGCTATACTTTTTTACTTACTGTCACTTGCTGCTGGAATTCAGTCTTAAATAAATAAGTAAATTAATGTAAAATGTCCTCTTCCCATAGAATGACTCTGTAGAGACTTGCTCTGGTATCTTACAGTCTCTTTCATGAGAGAAATTGCAATAATTAAAAGTTAATCTAGTGGGAGAGATACCACTGTACTTAGCATCACTCAATGTGGGTTATGGAAATATACTTTAAAGGAGGCTCTTTTATCTCCTGAAGTCACATGGTAGAATACTTGAGAGGATTACAAATGAATTTGTCTGCAGGATAAAGCCTGCTGTCCTGATAGATTAGTTCTCTGAGTACTGTAAAACTGCAATCAAAAATACTGTGCTTTGCAACTTCCTTGTAATTAAATAAATATCATTTGTTATGCAGCAGTGCTGAGTTTGCTATTAGAAATATTATTACTGTGACTCTTATCAGCCTCAACAATCCTTTTATTGGCAAAAGGCACAGACACACAATGTCACCATGGGACTTATCAGACAGAAGATGAGATCAACAATGCATCCAGGAATAACGTGTCCAGGAGCTGGATTCAAAAGCCAGTGCCTGGATTGACTGGGAGAGCTTTCTCACAACTTATGTCTCCAAAGTGCTCCATATCATGTTCATCTGAAACAATCTGGATAGGTTCTTTAATACATGCTAGCACAGTTTAAGGCAATCACAGAAGGAGAGGTTTTTATTGTTCTGGACATTGAAGAGTACTGATAGTTGATAGTCTGTGCTTCATAATATATACTTATATTTCTTACATTTCTCAGGGAGTTAAATTAGAGAAAGACAAATATTTTCTCCCATTTAAATGTTTATTTTGCCCCATGAATATTCACCTAATATATTCATATTAGAGTTAATAATGCATTGTTGTTTGCACAACAGGCATTTTTGTGCTCTTAGTCAAGATTTTTGATGTATCACTGGAATCCGCATAAACTCATGCTCTTTATAGCTTAATGGCCTAGGTTTTCAGTGAGGGATGTTACATCTCAGAATAGCAAATGATGACCCATGTGCCCTGCATGGAAATATAATAATAACAACAACAACAATAATAAGAATAGTATGTAAAAATGGACAATACACATAACACTACAACTGAGCCATTCTGTTTCTCCCATTTTACAACGGTTGCTTTGCATATTTGGAGAAATTCTTCATAGGATTATATTTTGGTTTGTGTTTATGAAAATCCACCTACAAGAATGATAATCCAGATCAGTGTACTGTTTAAGATAATAACACCATGCAGTGATGAGTGATACAAAACTGTGTAGCAATTCACCCTATAAAACACTGCTAGAGGTGTGATTAAACTGTGTGGAAACTGATTGGAGAAAGTACACCCTTCATTTCCTCTATTCGAGTTAAAGGGGACCTTAACCCAAAATTTAGAGTCATGGTACCGGCAAACGCAAATGGGACTTGTAAGGATGGAGGTTTTCTTGAGCTGTCTCTTGGGCAGAGAGATTTGTTGGAGTATATCTGCCTGTATGAGAGACAAAGATAAGACAGACGAGATTCCAAGAACAAGAAAGCAACTAAGAACAGAAAAGCATTTTCAGGGAAATGTGTCTAGAAAAGGTGAATTATTTTGTGTTGCTTATTGTCTGGAAAGAATTTGGAATTGTTGTTGCTGTATTTGTGAGAATAGGATGATTGGTATTTATGATAAAAAAGGATTACATTGAGATGGCTAACCATCATTAATTTCTTTTTGTAAAGGGAACAACTCACATGAGTTTTATCTTATTTAACTAGTTTTATTTCAAAGAACCCTAATAATACATTCTGGTGTTTAAAGCAGCAGAAAAGGATATGAAAAGGATAAAACTGAGGACTTTACTCCATCAGCCAGGTGGTCCTGCCAGTCCTGTATTAAAGTGAACTCTGACTTTCATCTCCCACATAGTTGAATGCTACACATTTCCCTCAGAACTTAATTTGTTCACTTTTTAGATATTGTTTAAGAGGGGAAAAACCAGAAAGAGTGTAAAAAGACCAAGTAACATGCAGGAAAAAGAATAGCATGTTCAGTGAACCAAGAGAGACAAACAACTAACCTTTTTCTGTGGACAAGTCTGATTATTTCCACCTGATTTTCAACAAATCCTCTCATTCTCTGCTCTCTGCAACTTTTCACTTAGAAAAAATGCCTGAACGGCACCTAAAGCCTCATTGTTCCCCCAGACATGGGGTTCAATCAGTTTGCCAAGAGCAGATGAAACAAACCCTCTGCTGCTGTGCTGCTGCTGAGCCAGTGCCTGGACCAGAACATGCACAGGCATTGAATGGTGCTAGCTGGGGAATTTATCCTTCACTCTCCTCTGGGTAAATCCATGCTTTGACTATTTTAATGAGGTGGCAGAAAAAGTTTCCTACCATGGTGAGTGTGAGAGAACATTTCCAATCAAGGTAACAGAGATGTATATGATACTAGGGACTAGATTCCTGGGAGGCCTAGCACTTTTAAGGTCACTTTGGGAAGTGTAACAGTAATCCCTTTCTTTTGTGCAACTGAAACTGCTCTGGTTTCAATACTACTTAAGCATTTTTTAACATCTACTGAATAAAGAATTCAGATTACTTTTCAGAAATGCTTCTCTGCTGCACTGAACTTGCAGAGTCCTGGCATCATGAGTGTGCTGAGCTCTAGAAGACAGAAGACAAGGAGAAGAAAAGGCAACTCTAAACTGGGACACATTCCTATGCCCAGTGGAGTGATGCCTGTACCAACTAGTTAACTCTCAACAAAAGGTGAATATAATGGTACTTCTATCACACAGGGAAATCACTGGTACCTGTAGAAACTTCTCCATAAGATTAGCTTCACCTCATAGAGCAGAGCTCAGCCAAAAGTGGCAGGCTTGACTGAAATCTGATTTTAAATCTCTGTGTTAT